GATCCAGTACCGTAATACAGTACCGATTTCCTAGAGAAGGTATTAAACTATGTATATACATATATGCACGCACATAATCTACTACCGATCGGATTCGATCGACTTTCCATCCCGCAGTGACGTCCCCGCTGTTGCTCGGTGCGTGATGGAATTTTACATGAGACCTAACCGAGGTACGATCTGTGAGATACAAAACGATCCTTTCCAACGATAAAAATAATTCATCTCCCGCACGATCACGAACGTGGCAAAGTTACGTAAAATTACCGCAGACGTTTCCACGGATCATTTTTTGCCATTCGTTTAGCAATGATAGACTCGTGTCGACTTATCGATCTGGTATACCAAGATCGGTTGGACGTGTCTCCAAGTCGAATTCACGGGATATCCTGTCCTGGGCAGGATCTTGAATGGGCCCGATATTAATTAATTAATTACGCAACCTTCGAATATTAAAGAAACTAATGGATTTGCAGTGTACGTCGGGCCAGTCAGGCATGTGTTTGTCCCATGGATCGACAACCGTTGGAGGCCAGGATACAATGTGTGTAACGGTTGACGTCATTCGCCCAGGGCGACACGTGTTGCCAGCCAGTCTGGCTGGATCGACCGATCGTAGCAGTGGTGATCCTTATAAAAATTGATAATAAAAAAAAAACAACTACCGATCTGGCGAAAGACAGTCAATTCAAACCCACTGACTCAGAGTCTGCTTTACCTGTCAAATATCACATTTAAAAACTGGTATAACAATAACTCAAATTTACACGGTGCGAGAAGATGGATTTATCGGATCCTTCATTATCGTCATCCCATTAATCATACACACATTTTTCACTGTTTCCAACAAGTATATTTCTTAATGATTTTTTTCCCGTTGTATCGTAAAATCAAGATATTGATTTTTTCAAAAAACGGTCATGTTTATCATAAAATTTTTTTAGGATCTCAAAAGAACACTGGGACGTATCCCATCGGCAATTCAGCATCACTCACGTAGATAGATGAGATTGCACAATTCTTCTCGAGGTTGGCATAAGTCGTAAGTGTCTTTAATGTGTACCACGACACGAATAGAGAGGGCGTGGTGGTCTCTCATTACATTAATTCTTCACTGATACCATAGACGGCATACGTGTTACTTATTAGTTATTACACAGGTATGTGCCAATCGTGGAAACGGTTCTTGCCGGCGTACCTGCACGCTCCTCTTAGGATATATATTGAGGCTGCTAGTTAGGAGGACAAAAAAATCACTAAGAAAGTAGTCGGACGTGAATGACACGTAAGGCGTCTCCTCGGTTATTTCAACGAATTTAATGAGTCTTCGTGACAATATTCTAAACGGACCTCTTTTTCTCTTCTTTCCCATTCTACCGGAGGGATGAGTTCGGCTTATATGCATATATATACATACGGGTAAAAAGAGGCTGCGTGAATGCCAGTAGAGCTGAGAACAAGGAGAACTCGTGCTTGCGACACGCGCGGACGCAGGTCCGCGTGCCGATTGATAAATTCGATCAATGATTCATAAGTAGAAAACGCGCTCCCATTCATTCGCTTGTTAGTCCGGAATGAACGGAGTTGCTGGACTCGAAGGATCGTAACGGTCCATGAGAGACGATTCGATCATCAGAGGCTCCAGATTGTCTCATGATGCTGGTTGAATAAATTTTGTATTATGCGAGGATCCCATATATGATTCATGGTATTAATAGTTTTTTTTTGTCTAATTTCGCATGAAAATCAAGCGAAATTTTGGCTTTCAGCGATTAAATTGATTGGTATGGTTTAAAATTGAATTTTTGAATTGAATTTATTTTTATTCGCTGCCATAGGTGTATCGCGTGTATTCCATAACCATAACTCAGCGCATTGAGCCAGTCCACATGTGGCCACATATGTCGCGCGATAAAAGCAGGAAGAGAAAGAGCTTTCATTTGTCGTGGAAGTGTTAATGGCGCGGCGTAAAAGTTCACGACGACAATGCAACCGTAGCCACGTGTGGGCGCCGAAGATATGGGCCAGTTTGCATGTAAGACTTAAGCGCGCCGACGTTCTGCGATCATGTTCCCAGCGGGACGTGTGGTACCTGTGCTCGGAGAGGAAGAATTTCCAATTCCGTGGGTCCACGGCTAAGGACCTAAGGAAATAAATATCGCGGAATCCAACGGCGATAGGACGATTAGTCTGCCAAAATTATTTTCATGTATATTTTTCGGCGTCGGATCATTTAAAGCAGACATCTGTTCCTTACGATTCTTTCTACGTAGAATCATACCAGTACAATGGGTACCAGATTTTTAAAGCTATGAAAATCTTTGGATTAAATAAATTTTCAAAAAGTCAATTTTTTTTTAATCGCAAAATTTTTTTATAAATTTATCATATACCGCATACACGTATACCAAACCCGTGTAAAGGTATATAAAATTTGCATTATTTTTTTTCGTATCCCAAAAGACTACAGGTTTTATCTCCATTCAGCTTGAATTCTTCAGTAGGTGGTTGCTCGCTTTCGCAATGGTCCATTATGCCTCTTTCACTCTTACTTTCTTCTCCCGAAGAGACGAAGAGGACAGAAGGAGACGAGGAGACTTTAGCCGGAGCACAACACGCGATTCCCGAGGAGCGACAATAGATCTACGTCCGCCCTCAGTACAGTGGAGAGACGGTGTTACTTCTGTCAGTTGACAGCGGTCCGCCGGACGGTTGACATTGATTTAAACCCCGACGTAACGACCGTAGCTCCGTGGGTGTAGACGCATCAACGATTGACATCTTCATGATAGTCCAGATGTAGTCCAATTGGCTCAAGCAGACCCGCCGATATAGCTAATAAGACAGTATGGTACGACAAGACTTTTTCCGGCAGGGAGCACGTGGGCTAATAGGCCATGTGATTCACCGGGTGAGAGTGCATTCAGATGCATGCATATGTGGGGATATAAACACACGGGATGATCGTAAAATTAGAGGCGTACTCGCTACTCACGTACTCCGGGGTGTAAAGGATGTCCCTTGTACCTAAGTTCTGCTACTGTCTATTGAATTACCTTTAGTCCGTCTATAATGAATTTTAAGTAACGCCTCTCAGTGCTGAGTAAACAAGTTTTCCACTTGGTCGATCTTCCACAGCATCCATTGGTACATGGGACGCATCCTCGTTCCAGTAGGAAATAGACGCTAAAGAGTCATAACCACTCGAGTCCAGTGTACCTACCACGTGAACGTGCGTCCTGGTAATGATTGCTCGTAGACCTCGTAATCCTTGAGTCCTCGAAGAGATCTCCTTCCATCGAGGCGTAGTTTGAATTGCAAGAGGCGTACACGGAATCCGCACACGCACTTGCGTCCCGTGCGTGCGTGTAGGCGTGCGTCGGCTTCGGAACAGACTAAAGTCCGTATGATGCGGAATAAGCTATACATGCCAAGGTACCTAATTACACGGGTAATTTCATTTTGAGCCAAGATCGAGAATCGAGCGTGCAACCGCCTCTGGGATAAATGTATAAAGTTTCCTATAGGGAATCAGGGAAAAATCAATAATCGATTTTGCATAAGGAATTTTATATCGATTTTAATAAAGATCAAAATAATCTATATGATCTCGATTGGATTTCGTTGACAATTCGGTAATTCTTAATGATGTCAAATAAACGATTATCATATATTTAAATCTCTTTATTTAATTCGTTTTCGTTTACACCTGGTGCCGTGTCACAGTGGCTTAAGCTTCTTCCTGGCGTAGGCGTGCAGACGGAGATGCACCAGAGGGGCGAATACGATGGCTCGAGCCGCCGGTTCACCGACAACGGGTTCGCCAAACGTCGCGGATGAGTCCAGGACCAAGAAACAGAACACCTGAGCCTTCCTTCCACCTCCTGGACCCTTCAGCATCTTCTATGGACTCTCCTCTCCTTTGCTCCCTTCTTACATGGCTCCGAGGAAGGATGGCTTTGCACTAACTCACCCACGTGGGAAGCGCATTTCCGAACTCTCTCGTCATCGACCCTTTTAGCTGTTAGCTCGACGCCGCCTCGGGACACTGCAAGCTCAGATGCACAAGCTCCACTTCTGTGCGATGATAATTGTCTTTTGAGAAATGATTTAAGTCTTGGGTAAAATTGAGGTTTGGTGGGGAAAAAAAAAATACCAGTCATTTTTTCAATTTATACTGAGAATCATTAGTCGTTGGGAAATTACAGGGTTTTGTAATTTTTTAGAGAAATATGCTAATACGATGAGAAATGGTGAAAGGATTCATTAAGATATTATTGAGTGTTTAATAAGAAGGTGCCTTGAGTAAGAGTGCCTTTAGGATAATTACGAGAAAAAACAATTAGTAATTCCATAAACTCTGTAGGTCATGAATTTTTTAGGTCTCGTGGATATACTTGAAAATCGTCAGGTAGTTTCAAAATCGTTCTTGTAAATTCCCCACGATAAACATTCATATTATCTTTTACCTCTGATCGGACCAAAAAGTCTGAATCCTCTCGTTGTAGTCTGATCGACTTCCGCTTCGCCGAAACAGGTGAAAAAAGTGATAAGGTCCGACAGTAACCAGAGGCAAGTTTACTCCTATACCTAAGAAGTAGGAACTACTGATATGATAGAAAAAATATTTTCGAAAATTATCGAAAATTTCATTTCTGTCATTCACTTCCGGTACTTGATATTTCTCCGTTTCCTCTCTCTATGTCCGAAGTTTATTTTGCTTTTTCTCTAATTGTAATGCAATTAATAATGTACAGTCCCTCAAGGATCTTATTTACTATTTATCACCCTTATATTATTTGCTTATGTCACAAGTGAAACTGAACACGATTCGCTTTCATTGTAAGGACGTGACTTCCGTCGATCAACGAAAGAATAAAAATGTCCAACCAGCGACAAAGAGTCACGTCCCGATTTTCGTCATCATCAAAGCAAATAATGAGTAGGCAGGTAAATACATACCTGACTGATAATCAAAATGGAATCGACGCATCGCTTTAACCTCACTAAGTTCGCAAATTATCGTCGTGTTTACGTTCTTGATATCGTGGCGGATCAATATGAATCAGCAAGTCTCGAGTGGTCTCACAATCAGGTACTCGTGGGTGGTAACGATTCAGTATCGACTTGCCAGACGGGCGAAGCAATTGAAATAGGTAGTTCAGACGTCGACCTTAACTTGCTAATAAAACCAGTAATTTACAGAAGGACGCTCGATTAAAAGAATTCCAACCTAACCTAACAAAATCGTTTCAAATCCATATGAATGGGGCCATAAACTACAAGAGAAACGTAGTGCAGAACGTAAACGTGATACACAATGATATTAAATAACGACAATAGAGAATCGATTCAATTTCAATTAAGCAACAATAACCGAAGACACCTAGAGGATTAGTGTCAGATTTTCCCGTTAGAGGGTCGATCTACGGGGAATCCCGTTTTCGGGCACGATGGCCGACAGTGACGTTTCTTTTGTTCGACTCGCGAATTCGATAGCCTGGATATGCGTTATGGAAGGCGCAAACACGTTTATGTTTTACTGAGAAGTAACCGGACACTGAGATAAGACGTACAAAGCTTCTCCACTGTGCGAATTGAAGTTAACCGAGAAAGCCATAAGGAATGACAAGAAGGTTGGAAGGGAAACGGATCTAAGTCCCATAGCCGTGCGGTTCGATTCGGAAGGTGATATATCTAATATATATAATACGGCTTAAGGCTACTAACGAATTATACTTTTTTTTTTCGTTCTACGCCACTGAACTCGATAATAACGTTTTCTGAAGTATGCGCCAACGCAGCCCATTTCATATCGTACGTGGTACCTTACGCGTGCACCATAGGTACCCATACTAAATACGTACATAGAAATGACGGTGGGTTCTCCTTTGTACAGTTATCCATATCAACTCCTAAGTAATTTCGTCATTCTTCCAACAACGCAATAAATTATCGTGTATGCATTTTTTCGAAAAAAAAAAAAAAAATTTCAATCCCTTCCCGAAGGCAGATACAATGCCAGGTCTCGAGAGCCGATATACATAACCAAAGCGAAAAGCCCAGGGCGTTGGGCAGTTAAGCGTGCGCATACGTAGCACGCAAACGCACGTGTAACTCGCAAGAACGCTTATTGGTTGCCAATCTCGTAGGTTTTTGCCCATAAGAGAAATTCACTTGAGCAGAGGTGTGGTACCAGTTTGTAAACTAGATTTATGGTGAGACCGCCTTGAAATTATTGTCACGCGTGCGGATCGGCCAGTCACGTATGATTAGCGAGATATATTTTTTTTTTCATCTTCCCAGACAAGATGACAGGACAATCGAGTTAGATTTTTAATCGCCAAGATCAGGGATAGAAATTCTTAATGGATGTTTCATACAACGAACTTATATGTGTATGGTTGTTTCTTCTATATGTCCAACGTACAAAAACTATAGTGATTTAGGTCGCCGGAGGATAGTCCGATAAATTAACCTATGCAAATTGGATATCGGAGTTTGAGATACCGTTGTAGCAGCCACAGTCTGCGAAATATCCTGGACTCTCTAAATGAGGTATTGCCGTGTATATAAAAAAAAATATTTTCCGCAATTCCACCTTTCGCAATGGCAGACATGCCTGTCCCTGCAACAGAGGCTCGGACGAGGATCACGTTCACGTGGACCAGTGGACGGAACTGTAGGTGATTTTTCTCGCGTTGTAGCGACTCGCGCTGATAGATATAATTATAACGTATCGACAGCAGGCGTGCCTGACCTGCGCAACGTGCTCACCGGCGCAACTCTGTGATTTACAGTTGCGCCGCTTGAATTAAATGCAATTAAGTCGCAGTAAATTACGCACGTCCCCGACGAAGACTGACGATAAATCAGGAGCGTGTTTGCCTTTGCCCGGTAATTGTAAAAATTCATGCCCTCGCGGCTCAGAGTGCCCACCGTTTATATTCCAGGGGTTATTTTAGCTTTTCTATATCTATATACACTGGATATGGGGTTGCGCATTGCCGTACTCCTCCCTCTCGATCAACGAGCACTGAACTACAAGTCCATAAACTATACCTCTGTCCTAGCCTGAGGAACGTGTTTATTAATCCGTTCAATTGATATTACATATCAGAGTCAACGTTCTCATACGTTAACCCCTTTCTGTAGTCTGTTTATACAGGGCTATTCAGTACTAACCAAATACCTGAAGGTGGTTCTACGGTAGAAGTCAAATGGACAGGGTAACCGGTATGTCTGTACTGAATAATCCTGTATTAATGTATACCCAGTGCTGATACAGTAAAGCAATGCATTTATACTGTACTTGTATAGGCAATCTATCTGCCTGCACAGTCTTTATGTAAAAGGTTCAACATTTCGTGTATACCTATATGCATAGGTTTGTACGAAAAGGTTGATCAGGATTACTCCGATAGGTAGCAATGTACAACACAGGCGTTCCTATATACAAGATCAATGATTGTCGCCGGTGCGTGTAAGATGTTAATGACGATGACGTCATGGTTAGCAGGTTAATGAGGTCGCGTGGGCGACTGTCGGCAGTTAGGAACGAGCTTATCCAGCTCATCCTCCGGTATTGCTCTTTCTCTCTTAGAGGATTCAACTAGTAGTTTCTTCACTCATATATATACATATCTCTCTCTCTCTATCTTTCTCTCTCTCTCTCTCTCATATGGTTATATACTTGCCGGTCCTGGAGCATCATTTACATATCTCTGTATCAATGCTACCTTGCTTCACCCGCCGCATATTTTCTCGGATGCACAGCGGTTCACATTTCGCGATTGGACCTGGAGATTTTGATGTCGGAGCCCATATGCAATCTCAGGATGCATTGTTGACAAAAATTGTTTATTGGAAGGTTGAAAAAAATATAAACCATTATTTAATATCGATTTTCCCTTATCTGTAAATTCGCAAGGTACTATGAGTAATCTGTGATGGTTAGATGTGCGAATTTTTTTTTTCGCTAGGATCTAATTCATTTTTGACACGGGGGTTGAGATCCTGTACAACCACCATAGAATCCCATCGACCTCGAGTGCTTCCCTTCATTAATTCCGAGATCCCCATCCATGGTGCACGCCCGGTAATAACCACAGGTATACCGTTGCCCTGCAGCCTGCATACCTTGAGCCCAAAGCGCATCCTGGCCAAGTGCTATTGAGCTGCAGGACTCTATCGAGACACAGCATCCCTGGACCATTACTTGGATCTCTTATTTCGCATCTTCGGTATACTTAGGGATTCGTCCTGCTAGTATGTATTCTTGTACCGAGGTCATCCGGACGTGATATCCTAGTAGATTGCCGAGGGTATTGATAAGAACCAAGGGAAATGAAAGCTCGAGCTTAATATGAATAAATTGGAGATCAGCCTTAACGCGCGAAAATGTTTACATACTCGATTTAAGTGCTTATGCGCATATTTGCTTTTTGTAGGCGGAGTAACGTAGCCGAGCAGGTTTGCCGCGCTGTGGATTAAGATAAATAAACTAATGCAGAACTAACGGATCTTGATATGCTTTATCAGTCGTGATTGTATAATTATTTTGATTTTATCGATCATCCAATATTTTCATATTTATTATAAACTGATTTAATGTTGGTTTTAGTTATTATCCGTCATACAGTATATGTATGCTCCTAACGATTTTATCAACCAGTCATTATTATGTCACGATGCTAATTACGTGACAAAGTCGACTTGATACACGATCGATTATCTGTCCTTTCGACCGCGTACACGTTATATCGCCTCGAGCAATTTGCTGCTCACGATTTTACTCTCGTTCTTCATGGAATGTCGAGGGGTATAGAAAATCGGTATTCATATATGACGTAATAACGACACTGTTAATTTTTTGAAAATTATTTTATTCGGCAATGATTTCAAATGATTTTCCATTACAGCTTTCTCCGATTATCCGGGAGTGCCGGTAGCTATCATTGTATACAGGTATACATTTACCTGTATACCTTGCAAGGCACAATCTGATTGGTACTGCAACTGCATCGCAGATACTGCACTGTTGACACAGAGAGAAATCGAGCATTGTATTAATTAATTAACGTTCGAAATGATCCACCCGATTGGCTGCGAAGCTAGCGATGACGTCAGGTAAAATTTCACCTGATTACTATCTGAGAACTTTCCTTAGCAAAAACTGACGACACTGCAGGATGATCTCATAAATGAAATTTCAGTGAACTACCAACACCGCACGTGGCTCCTGCAGGAACGGGGATAACGAATTGCACAAGATGATCGACAATGATCAATTTGATTTTATGATGGCAAGGTAAGAGGGAGTTCACCTATTTTCAAATCATCAAAAAATCAATGACTCTCGTGCATTCCTATTGTTCGATGTTGCTATTATTAATCCGTAAGTGAAATCCCTGGGCTTCCCTAAGACGTCAATGGCCAATGATTCGCAAGTCAGTTATCAGGAGCGTCAATCACTTCGAAGCATAACACGTACCAATATATATATATATATATACTTTCTCACGTAAATGACCTAAAAATGATTCGCGATACTTTTTTGATCACACTGTATAACAACCTATTAATAAATGATTACATGCTGACATTCACCCCATCCCTTTCGCAAATCCCAGCGTAATTTCCCATCCTGACATTCTGCCTCGTTAAGATCATTTATCCCGACATGATCGAGCAGCAGCCTGGATCGATGAAAAACTCAGGATCTCGCACGTGTTCAACACCGTAGGCGTTGAAGTCGATCAAGACCATTTGTAACAGTTCTACGCTCCATCCTGCAGGTTCACGTAATTTGTGATTTCTAAGGAAAAAAAAATATATATATGATACACGACATAATACACGTACCGAGACGAGAGTTCTCAACTCCATAAGGATTCTCTTACCGTGAGCCAATCGGTGTGTTTAAAAGAGCCGAGTATATGAGGATTTTGAAAAAAATATTACAAGCCAGGATTTCACGTGCAAATATTAGGAGAAAAGTTGCGAACCCTCGTTAGCGGCTTCTCGTTCACGAAGGCATCGAGCGTCTTTGTTCTGTTGCCGGTTTATTTAAATACGCATTAATATTTAATACTCGAAGAGTGTTTAAGTGGGAGTTGCTCGCCAACCCGTGAGCCCTATGTAATTATACTGGCAGCCCACACTCAAAAGAGGCCCAACGAAGCTTCGTACGAAATCGCAATGCCCTAAAAGTAAAAAGGCCATATGAGAATCCTATAATAAGATATAGCAAAGGACAGAGAAATATTATGGACAATAGATGAATACAGATATATAAATTTATCCTGTTGAAATATTAGACTGTGTCTATTAATAGATATATAAAATTTATTTATTTTCAAGGACTCTTTGTTTTTTTTTTTTTCCTATTACGTGAAACACGTCCGTATGATATTCCTCATTGGGAAGTCATGTTGTCACTGCATTAAACGAATCCTCCAAGCATGACAGTTTCGTTAATTACTACCGCGTTAATGAGCCGAGTAAATTGTCAGCGATTCCAGAGAGTCTGGAACGCGGAACAGGAACGAGGTACTAGGATGCTTTAAAAATGGCGACGGTGCAGGGTGGAAAGCGAGGATAATTGTAATGAGCGAAGGGAGAGGTGTCCATTGTTTGTTCGGTGTGGAAGTCACAGTGAGAATTAGTAAGAGAAGTACATATAGTGTATAGATATATATATATATATATATATATATAGGTAAAATGTCACGTGGAATTGAGGTGACTCTATTGCTGTATGACAAAGCAACGTACGTCATAAATTGTCAGAGTGTATACAGTCTCTTTCTCATTTACGAGGAAAGTATTTGGCTTTTTACGATTGGCACACCTTTCGAGGATTCGGGGAAAGGCGTAATCTAGATTAGTGCAGTTATCTTAAGATTCATTGCTTATTATAAATAAATTGACTTTTTGTTTATCAAGAGCGTCGCTAATGTTTGCACTAGTACAGGATGATTCACTGCGTAAATATAGGAATCCCCCATACGAATTGACGTATTAAATCCTGATATTTGAATGTGCTAAAATGAACGTGTATCGCGCAAATATATAGATATGGTACTCGGTAGCGAGATTGGCGAATTTTTCGCAAATTTCTCACGAGTAATCATTATTTCGAAAATTATCGAAAAAAGAGCATACGTGGAATTTCGCGACCGGGCGAAAGGAGCCTTAAGGGAAGATACAGGAAAGATCGGCAGAGCCGTATAATTTGTGAGGCTTCTCGAGCGATCATGTATCATTTACAGAAATTATAAATTCATTATTTAAAAATTATCATAATACATTTGCGAAAATGCCAATGCCATTACGAACTGCTACCTTTCAATTCGTTGCCGCCATTGAGAATATTCCTGAAGTCGATCGCTTTTATATTCGCGAAAGAGTGCTTTCGTTGATGCACTCTTATTGTTTTTATACATCGAATAAAAACTGTAAAATATATATATATATATATTTCACTCGGTCTCATATGTTTCACGTATGATAACCTATGACTGTATTTCACGATTTCTGCATCGGCCACGAAACGATCTTCCGTTTTGTCCGATCGAAGTCCTTCAGGTTTTACATTCTCACGGATACGTTTCCTCGCGTTCTGCGTTCACGTTGCCAAACGGAATTAATTTGTTCCGCGCGCCGCGCAGCCTATTGGTTTATTAGACTCGTAAAGCTTTAACGCGCGTTTTATAGAGATTGAGATGGGATATACGCTATATAACGTTGCATAGGTAGAACGGAACTTACAGTATATACCAACCAGGTTTTACGAGTCGGTCGCGAGAACTAAACGACCGTTAAAATTTCGATTGGAAACCACAAAGAGATCTTTTTCCGAGTAAAGCACAAGTTTTTCACCGCGGAATAGGTCCAGTCTCCCTATCCCAGGTTCATTGACGCTCCCTAAGTTTTTTCTAACGGTACAACATTGCAGTTAAGTTCTTTTCAATTCTTTAACAATTCCATAAATTTATATGCAACGTCTATCGGTTTTGTGCTATAGACGAATTTGCATGCATTCATAAACACCATTATGTGCTTCTATATGCACGTGTGCACTGTGGCATATATAAACAGAAAATAATTATTTCAGCATACACCACAACGTTGTCACGACAGTACAAATTTCGCATACGATCATTAAAAAAATAAAAATTAAAAAAAGAAATTCCCATAAATTTGTCCAAAATCCAAAAAATCTGATGTTAGATTTTCATTAAAAAAAAAAAACGAAAGTCATAACGTACGATATTGTTAGCCAATGGTTCATCCTGTTAGCAAGATCACAAGTGCCTAACGGATCGCGTAGATTATGTCAGCAGCGGTTGTGCTTTTTCCTTTTACGGTATTACAACAATCCAGCCAGGCATATTCTCGGAAGGTTCGTTTTATTTAAAACAAATATTTATACTGTTGGCGAACGTGTCTCCATACGTCATCGAATACGTTGTCGAGTTAGTGACGCAACGAGGCATCCGTCTATAGATAAGCCAACGATTCGCAAAAAAAAAAGAAGGAAAATTACCAGCAGATGTTTTCTCACTGCTCCTGGACCCAGTAGACGTCATATTGGGCTCGGTTGGTATCAGTGCCCAAAGCCACTGTAAGTCACGTTGGTAACGTATACAGAAAAATGATTGGTACGTATAGAAGCAGAAGATCAGTGCCACGGACAATGTCAATCGGTAAGATGAGTCAAGGCTCGTGAGAGACTCCTAAGAGATGAAATGTTTAACCCCAGGTTAATGGCTCCGCTGTCTCATTATTAATTGCCGTGAGTGACCCAGTTTAGTCATGTAATTGGTCCATCGGTATTGGACCTAATTGTTGTGCCTTCCGATTAATACGAGCCATTAAACATCGAGTATGGCCACGTCCGTATGACAGCTGATACCAGTGGCATCCGTTGGTAGTCGTCATACTTTTCATAGTTGCCAGATAACGTACGGAGACCGGTTTCATGCAGCGAGATTAGATAGCCGAAGCTTTTCGTTCGTATTCATCATAAACTTGGAACGTAAGTATAAATAGATACAATAATCACCTGGCTCCCTACTTGGTCCACAATGTGGTTCGCTGTGGACATAGTCGCTTCAAGTTCATCATTCGAGTATGTACATTTTTCATTCAACCGACCTCAACTGATATTGTTCTTGTGTTAAAAACACAGTCCACTATACCTGCCATCGTGTCTAATTGCTAATTCACCTGTACATAATGACCTGGGGAATTCCAAAATCCTGTTGCTGATGTAACCAGTCATGCTCAATCGTTGATTTGCTGGCTGCCAATCACAGAGCAACTAATCTAGACCAGCAACCTTAAAGCAGTCAGAATTTATAGTTTATACGTAACAGAGAAGGTTCGTACGTCAGCGAACGTTTTCTCGGCTGGGAGTTAATTGTCCACACCTATTCTACATTTTATGAGGTATCAGAGTTTCATTCAGGATGTTGGGACTGCGGTGTGATATAATTAAAATATCAATTTTATGGTGCCAGAATAAAATTGTCAAACTGTCATTACCACGTGTTTCTGATTTTTGAGGATGAGCAATATTGTAGAGAGGAGTTGGATGGGACCGTTAAAAAATTGGGTTCACTGGTTATTCTATATAGTAATGCGTGTAAATTGAACTGACTCATCAAAAGACAGCTACGCGTACTAGTTAGCATTTCGAACTCGTACTATTTCATAGGACAGGTGTAACTCGCGTTCCGATTGACAATGCGATGACCACTATGTCAATAGATGGAATATTAAGCATGATTTATATAACCGATCTGCCTGTCAATGACTGTATGTTTATAAGTGTGAACTAAACGTATTAACTGAACGTGATCGTCAGGGTCGAGGTCGAACGAGATACGTATGGTACTTTTTACCGTAAGAGAAAACTCCTTTCTCTGTTATTTCATATACAGGGTGTCTCAGGAGAAATTGATAAGACCACGTCATTCATCGAGTACAATGGATCTAACGACAGTGTGTAACTGAATGGAGCTGAAAGTCGATGATTGATTGATTAGCTATGGGTTGCGCAATGGGATCACACAGCGTGTCAATATGGTACGAATTAAATTTCTAAATATCGATGACGCCTGATGATATCATAGTCATCGTTATCAATATTGGACACTGGTTGAACATCAAGCCTGCATTCACAGGGCTTGAGAGCTGAGGCGCGTACATAGCTGTACGTAAGTACAGACTGAAACGTACACGGAAGAGAAAGTGCGCAATCGCCATGATGTCATCGATATCATGGTCATGGTCCCCATGGGAAGTAACTAGATCAGCCATCGATATTAAAAGTGGGTCGTGTTTCTAATTAAATTTAGGTAAATAAGGTACCATGAAAAATTTCGTTAACTTATTCATTAGCAAATATTGTCACGGCGTAGTCAGTAAGCTTACATCCAATGACCCGGTACTGGCACTTACCCGATGACTATTAAAAGATGAATGATACATGGTCTAAAATTACAATCTGACTCTATCGATCTCTGCGGATCAATATTGTCACTTTGGAAATAGTGAAAAAAAATTATTCGAAAAAAATGGTGATATCGTCCATTGCAACATGGACCCGGTATCATCATCCTCAATTATATTCCAAGTCCTTTCTAATCCTCTGATACTGGTAAAAGCCGGCCATTTTTTTTACCAATATATCCCACAACCATGGTAATCGAGAATTTGTAATCCAAGCCCGTGTAATAAGGTAGGTACAAAATATAAGAATTACCGTCATACCTTAATCCATGAATATTTGAAATACTGAAGTTGCGCCTAGGAGATCGCGTGCGTGAACGTAGTCGAATGACTGTGCTATAGTTATATATATACTGTATATTTTGTGTATAGTATACCGGCTGCTTAGATTACGATTTGAGGAAGCGTAACGTAGAGTATCAACCAGTTGAGAAGACGGACGATCGTTGCTGAAATTAAGGGGCATTTTGGTGCATACAAATGGGACAGGCGAACGGCCTGCCGCCATCACGTAGAGCACGTAGGACTACAGTATATATAAGTATAGTATAGTGGTTCTGGTCAGTAGAGACTCGGGACACGAGTCGAGCACGAACTCACCCGATTCTCCACGTGCTCGGAGCACGTCAATGACGTCACATGCTTGGGAGGCTCGACTAACTCGTGCCAAACGGGCCCCGAGGGGCCCCTCGTGCTTTGATCGATAGATACCAGAGAGATAACGAGATTGGGGTCTGGTAGAAATGAGGGAGCACGTCTTTGGATTACCTTGACCTTAGTATATGCAGACAGATATACATATATGTATATAAATTTGCCAAAGGGTGGAGAACTACCCTTATTAAAAAATATATTTATATATATACTTTTGATAATACGTATGCACAGTGATGCATCTCCGTGTTGAATTTGACTGCAAGGATGCTGTAAGAAATATTTAAAAAAAACTTTGTGACCGATCGGTTAATATTATATAATCATACATTATATTGTCAATAATCATAATTTAAGATTTACATATGGTAAACATGACTTAACATTGATTACTCTTCGATTACCTGATTGTACCTGCGACTCAACAGGGAGTCTTGGGTTTTTCACTATACGCTAACGTCTGATCAGCTGTTCTCACAATGGGACCCATGTCAAAGGTCCCAATTTTTGTGTACCTGGATCTTGTAACGTTATCACAGTTTTACAGGTACGGGTACGGTGATTTGAAAAAAAAATCTTGAATGGATCTTCAAAGGAAGATCCTGGTCCAGGTACCGGTACGCACTTCTGGTTACCCAGTTACCTTCTATCCAACGCAACCCAATCCCAACCTACCCTACTCCTCCGCAAGAGCAACCAGTCATTCGAACTTCAATGACTCTCGCTCACCTCCCATCTGGCAACGAACAATGGGACACACTGTCGGTGACGTCACTAGATACGCCGAACCGTACCTTCTATGGGTCTGAGGTTGGGAGTTCACAGTATGCAGACCTAACCTATAATAACGCAATGGGTTACATGAAAAAAGTCACGAATCATTATCATTGGTACCAACTTAATGTTAATTATCATATCATACATATACGTATACGTGTATATACCTCGTCTATACTTTTATCCTCTGGGCAAATCCCAAGACTGGTCTACGAGTCGTGCTACACGTACAACACTGTATTTATCTGTAAACCAGTAATTGCGCAAACCTCTGTATTCGTGACACGTATCAGTTAAAATGCATTTTCGATCGAGTGCCGTCTTGATGAGATTAAAGTCAATAAATCCCGAAGGTCTCTCCTCTTGATTTATCCAAAGGTGGAGATTGCTATTCCATTGGTACCCATATGTACGCTGTATATCCAATTCTTGCTCGACAATTCCTCGAGAGCCGACTGAACTTGCGTACCTTAAAAACCGAACGGATCTCGCTCGGAGGCCACAGGAGTCTCGTAAGAGACTCTGTTACCCTCGTTAGGGAACTCGACGTGGAAAGGTAATTGATACTTTCATAACCTGGCAGCATTCCCACCTGCAAATAGTTGAGTTCTTTTTGCCACAGCCTCATTAGAGGTGACAATAAGTAGTTAGCCGTTTCCAGGTAGCTGCCGTGGAACGTCGGCACTGAAGAACTTTGTACTGGAATTGCAAACGATCCCGATTCTTCCGATCTCCAGCTATATATATGTATATATATATACATATATATACACGTATATATATATACATACTCGGTAAGGGAGAATGAGAGAGAGAGAGAGAGAGAGAGAGAATAAACGATTGGACAAACAGACAGAGACAGCGTGTATTCCTGATCAGTCTGCAGTCTTACCAACCCTTGTATCTTATATACTGAATAAATAGCCAAGAATCAGTTCATAAATCAGTAATGAAAACTTGACGTATGCTACGACTGACTTGTTTTACCCGATCGCAAAACGTCCATTGGGGAATTCTGAACTGGGATTCCTGAATGTCGATTCAAAATATTCTTACAAAGTATTTCCAGGAGATCGAATCTATTCGGTGGGATCCTGTTGCGGTTTTCCATTGTGTCTCAGGATCTGTCAGGATCTATAGGGTGTATCCTAGTTTGAATTTCTCTAGAAGACATTCTCTCGTGCTGTTACACTACATCGAGTTCTTTATTAACGATCTATCGATTTTGATACTGCTCAACGGAAATGCCATTCGCGTTTCTATCGAGTGACGTAACGTTAAATTACCAAGTGGCCGTCGAGGATGAGTATTGTCTCTTGCGGTTTGATCTTTCTAGTGGCTATTCAGATTTTGTCATACATTTGACTGTGCGATGGCGTAACGTGTTCCAGGAAAGGAATTATTATAAAATTCCTTACTTTATTGTCTGCTGATAAACTATCTTTTTTTCAATTTTATTGAATTTTTGGCCATTTTTAATGTTCCTGGATACATAGTAAGTAATCGATAATTTTCCTCGTTGCAATACGAAGTGACTCATTAACCATTCGTTTGTAAGTTCACTAATGTCACTAGCTCGGGTATGTATTTTTCCTGTACTTCGTATTCTATACTTCCTTAAGGATTGAGCAATACTCCTTAGGCACCCAAACGGTCTTGGCTTATGTAAGTCACGGATACGCGTAAGTGTTTACAAATTAGCGGAGCTGCGTGTATCGTGTGCCACACTGGACTAATCATGGTAATTGCGGAGAGCAACTGTCGCACGGTTATACTCGGATAGTATCTTCGTCATGGTTCAGCTCCTGTCAACCTGTCCGGCACGTTCACAACATCTTAACCCATTTAAAGTACCCGCGATTGCTGTGGCGTAGTATATTAGCGTGTAGATAAGTAGACTGGTTTGAAGAGGAGGGTATTATTGAAATTTAGAAAATTTTCATTTTTTATGAATATACAAAATTTTTTTTTAATCCGACTGGAAGATGATGACGAAATTTCTTGGGAAATGCATTTACTGTATGTATACAGTATAGCCATGTACCACGTGTATGGATGATAGTTTTTTGATTTGATATTAATTTTACGTTTCTTGGAAATTCTTTGTATTTGTGTTTTTTTTTTCTGTTTTAGGTATTCGGTCGCACAATTCCCACGGGCAGTGCGGAAATGAAGTCAGCGCAAAGATTCGCTCTGACTTTCATTGAAATATTAATAGACCGGTAGGGTGGCCGATAGTTTTCTGAGAAGAAAGTCACTCGGATACAATGGACCACGCTGCGGGATATCCAGACGTAGATTTTCTGGGACAGAAGTTTAACAAGACGAAAGCAGCATCCCGAATTCGTGGACCATCAGATAAGAAGATGCGTCTGTGAAAACCGAGGGGTCCCACTCGTTGGGTTCGCACGCTTTTCTCTTGGGTGTCGGCGGCTGATTTCGGTGTTCTCGGTTTAAGCATGGAAAAAGAGACAGGGAGAGAAAAAGAAGATGTCAAAAATATCTATAGGTCTTCGGTGGCCCTTTTCAAGAAATAACGGAGTATGCCTGTTCCTCGTTGTACGGTACATGAAAAAGATGTTCGTAAAGGCACATTTTTTGTCTTCGTATAATCGTACAGTGGTAGTTTGCTAAAAAAATTCATGAAATCGACCTGACATAATTAATCTGTATTCCGACTGTACTCGTAGCCACGTATTCGTCCACTGAATTAATTAATTAACTTTCCAAATGGACACAGACAAGATTAACACCTCGAGATCAATTTACGCACGCCTTCGATCCGCGGGTCCTTGGCGCGTGTTACCAGAACCAGTTCCGTGACGAACGATCGGTTGGGATTTTATTTAATTTTTTTATTTTTGACCGTCCAATTACGCAGCAGCACATGGCGAATTAATGTCTAAAATAAATCTGTTGATTAGTGCAGATTCGTAATTTATTCTTCATTGATATAATTCATTGTGATTGTCTACCAACGAATTTCCTTACTGTGGCTGATCACCAAGAAATCTTTTAGTTTGCGATTTCGAAGAGAAAATATTGAATATAGGACTTTCGTGAAATCCGCTTTTTATTACGTCAGCTTTGTGCGTACACGACCTTTTCCTTCATTCAGATACGGATCTGTCCACCTGACAATTTAAGCAGCTTTCGTTCCGTAACTATATAACGCATGATTCTGATCCATCTGTGTGGTTATAATTTTTAGTAAATTTTTTTTCCTTCAGAAACAGGACACACGAAAAGAATTACACGCATGACTACGTGATTCGCCGTGAGCTAACCAGGCGATGAATCAGCTATGCATTTTTTTTCAAGGAGCCCTAGCGAATCCTGTGACGTACCAAACATCCGTCCTACGTATCTCAACGAGATCGTCTCGTGGATTTTCCCAAATTCTAAGGAAGCCTAATTTTTTTTTAAAGCGGCGCCAGATTTAAAACGACAGTCCCGTTATGGATCGGATTTGTTTATCTAAGGTTGGAGGGCAGGGGTGTCTGTCTAAAACGACGCGAGACTCCAGCGTACATTGGTGCAAACTAATTTCAATGTTTACCAAAGAAAACGCACGCGCGATATAAAACTGAACAATGTGTATGTATTGGTGTAATTGATAAGATGATATCAGAAAGGCATGAGGGCAATGCCGATGCTGTGATTCATCCAAGATTGAGCATCGATCGTTTTACAATCAGTAATGGATGATGCAGATACATTGTTTTTAAATACATACATAAAAAATACTTAAAAATCTGTAATTTACGTTTATGAAATTTTCGGGTAAAAAAAATTTTTAATTAAAATTTCCAAAAATTAATAAAAAATCATCTTTGGTCTATTCACACTAGATTCGTGATGTTATATACGGATTTGATTTTTGATCTTTATATTTTTTTTTTGTATCACTTTACAGGCGTCTTTACACGCAACGAAGCTAATGTTGTGTTTACATGGACAAACGTGCGTATAACATGCGGTTACGTACGCGATATCAGAAACGCAACGCGTGGCGTCTTTCCGGGCGTTCCTCTTTCAGTCTCAGCGTAAGTGAAGTTCCGAGAAAAATTGTCGGCACGCATCATCGGTAAGCGCCGCCACTTCACAGTGTATAAGTCATGGCAAAGACATCATATGATTGGCTGTGAGGCCGCAGGACGCCCACAACGTGCACGGTTATATAGTACTCTTGTGCCATGCGGGGTTCATTCATAGTTCCACTCTAGTCTAGTCATTCATTAATCCGATACGGTGAGAGTGTCCTTATACTAGTCGGAGTGGAGTGTCTGACGGGAGACCCAATAACGTCCGACTGACCTGATTCCTGTGGCGTGTAATTTATATTTTGCAAGTTCATCGAAAAACAAGAGTATCCAAATTGGATTATAATCGACGGAGAATGCGAATAGGTAAGAAAAAAGTGAAATTCGAAAAATTCGTGAAACCCTAAAAAAATTTGAGCAATACTTTTTTTTGGACAAAATTTTTAACCAATCAACAAATTTACTTTCTACAGACTTTCCTTATCTTAAATTAAGCCAGGGGTAACATAGGTCAAAGGTTAATCTCGATCATTGAACCTCGATCATTTTCAAACCCTGACAAGTTGATCTATATCAAAAGTGGTGGCAGGAAATTTTTTTTAAGGATCTGTCACGAAAGTAAATAATCCTGATGAGTCTCAATTTTCTTTTTCTCGTAATGTATACACTGACGCAATATCATTTCCTCTGCAGCCATTGCACTCTTATCTCCCAACGTGCCAGATAAATAGCTGCACTTGGACTCGATTGCAGAATCGTATAAGCTCGTGTACAGATAAATAAAATGGTTATCTACTTTTTCCAATTTTCTCGTCTCAACAAAGAATACTTATCGTTCAACGCTCGCCGGCCCTGACTTGATCCCGTATCAAATTAATCTCAATTATTATTCCATCCGGTTTTGCTCCACTTTATACATAACAAATCAAAAATATTATTGTAGAAAAAATTTTATTTCTCACCCTCGCTACCCTTTGATCTCTGTCGATCGAGATCGGATTACACGTGCAACGGATCAAACGATACACAATCGCAACACGCATGTAGGTACGTGCCCAGACGGGAATGTGATTAAACAAAATTCATCGGCACTCATTGGTCGGTACTTGGCTATCAGGCATGAATCATTATGACGGCGCCTATAGTGTGCCAATACATACATATCAGACTACCGGTATCAATATTATCGCGATATTGATTATTGTTGATAGTGATGCAATACCTAATGTTATTCGTCATCATTAAACAAAGATCGGTTATAGAGGGTCCTTGCGGAGAATAACTTTGTAACCCGATAAGATTGAGATATATTGTGAGAATTATTCTTACGTCATCCGCATCTATTCTGTGTTGTTAATTTAAAAACAAAAGTGAATCAACTCCGTATGCTAAATCACAGACCGTACAAGTACGTATATCTACTAGATCCTTTGAATCTTTTTGAACGTAGGGTTAGCCGAGCGTGACGGAAAAAATTGTTCAGTTTCCCGAAGGAGATGAGTCGTTGGGAAAAACTTCGTAATTGTCCTGTATAAAGTTATCCTATTGGTGCATACCTGACTGATGGAATGAATTAACGTTACGTAACAAGGTCATTGTAAAGGGGGAAAGCCCAGAGTGTATTTTTAATCACGTTAAATCTTATCGACAATGCACATGATCATATGGGTATACAACCCGTCATGGTTGCTCGCTCAAGATTCGGTGATGGTTCCTAAAATTAATCGAAAGCATCGATATATTGATAATCGTAATCGGGAAATTCAACATAAGGAATACGTAATCAGGATGTTCATTGATGAAATCAACACGACAGTAATTTCGTTATGGTTATTAAATTTATAGAAGTGTAATCGATAATCAGTGGTGGAATTAATAATTTATTGAATATCAAGAGTGGAAATGAATTAATTACGTGGAAGACTTTAATTGACCTAGTGCTTTTTGGCAAGTACGGCAAAACTGTCGTTGCGAAGACCAAAGGTCAGTTTGGGCTGCCGTTCGCGCTGATCGTCATTAAATTAAATTTTATAGGCTTTTGGTACATAGAGGTCCATTTGGCAATTATTTAATTTGTGACGTATTATAATGTTATAATTTAATCCCGAAATAGGTAAATTAGTAGACGTGTGTGCCAACGTCTTTTTGAGACGATTAAGCTAGTTTTTGCATAAGTCGATCAACATTTTCGCCAATGATACCAACTTGCAGATTAGATGCTTATAGTATAGATAGTTGACTGCCGGTACGTATTTATGTTTAGGTATACGTAATACGTTACTAATTGCACAAATCCCCTGGATAGATTTCTACATGCCTTTGGTTGTCTTTGGCCATTGGCGTTAATTAATCATGACGCTGGAATTATCAACTCTGAGTAAGCCATGTCTTCTTGTGACATCAACATTGCCGACGGATTATTGGCCTCCTATCAGACGTTTTATCACAGGCTGTTATCAGTGACGTCGACGACATTAAAAAAAAATGCTCTCACTCCTACGTACGCCATCTTCTCTCTAGTGATCTATAAACTGTCCTTGTTCACTCAGATGGCGTAATTTCGCGTAACGCAGCTCGATCAAACAACGGGTACTCTTATCTTGTGATAAGAAGATTTTTTATTTCGGTTACTGATCTAGGATGGATTTTCTTAGTTTGAAGGTTAAGATAGCAAATGACTATGTTAAAACATACAAAAGCTAATGTACCCTGGATAGTTGATTAAATTTGAGATCGACGTTCAGTGTTAATTAGTTTCAAATATTCCTAGTTCGATCTACAGTCGATTATCTATACCGTGACTGTATCACGTCATAGTGACGAAATTTCGAATCTACTGTCATCAAGATAACAATTCTATTCTGACGTCACAAACTCCTTTCTACGTCTATATCGGCTGTCACCGTATTTTTCACAATAGCCCTAATTTCCCCGAAACTCTCCGAAGAAAAAGCATTTTTCCGTTCACGACACTCTAGCACTATGACGCTATCGGTTTAATACAAAAAAAAAATACGGGAGTAAGAGGACAGGGAAAAAAAATTAGTACTCCTAACGATACTCAAGGACCAGTTGCAATTAATAACCTAGCATATTTACACTATCCGAACAAGGTTTATTTATCCCTAGCGGCTCCATATTCGTGAAAACAAATAAAGCTCCAGTCTTTTGCCATCGGCCAATTTTCTTCGATTTTCCAAGCAAATGAGATTGCAGCGCCGCCATCAGGCATCCGAGTGTCGCGTATCCTTTGAGTCTTCGAATCCACGAGGCACAGGTAAATAAGTACCTAGGCATAGTCATGCAACACAACAGACGCGTCAGTTAATGATAGGTGTAATGAAATCGCGTGGCCCGGAGGGTCCAGTGTGTGTATGTCCCCCCCTCTATCTAACGTACGAGGGTGTACGCCGAGTGGGGGGAGGGGCAGTGATTCCCGAGAGAAAGAGGTGGTATTCGAAGCGGCGAGTGAGCGACAGAGCGACTGAGCGACAGAGCGACAGAGCTAGTCGAGCGAACCAGCGAGTGAGTAGTGAGTCTACCAAGTGAGTAACTGGGAGTCGTGCGAGACCCTCTCAGTCACCACGAGATCGGCAAGCCGAATGGTCAACCGCGTTTGGTCGGGCTCAAAAGAACTCTTCCGCACTCGTACGTACGTGGCGTTTCGAATGTCACTGGGTAAACGGGGACACGACGACATATTTTCGATTGAAAATACGAATTGTCGTTTGGCCGTCGGGAAGACTGACAGTGGGAAGTTCAACAGTACCGGTAGCAGGTATAAAGCCAGTAGATGCCCTTACGAGACGCGGAATAACATAGTATTGTTCGCGGTATGGATTCGACACCGGATACGATTCCGTTGTGCGGAAATTTTTAGAAGATACGAAAATGTTCGAAACGTGACTGTTGCACGGTGTGTTTATACGGAGCACCCACACGTGATTACGATATAACGGAGTGACGTTTGTCGTAGCTCTGGGTCTTTTTCTTTTTTTTTTTTTTCGTTTTCTCAATAATTTTCATACAGTCGACCAAGACTTTTGTTCGGTAATAAATCCAAAAGTATACTGTGAGTTTAAACGCATTGTGCGAGAGTGGATGCGATTACGTGAGGCATTTTCGTCGCTGGGAGAAGCCGAAGACTCTCCTACAGGAGGAAGAGGAAGAGATGATCTTCGAGCTGCTGGTGGCTGGAGCGTTCGCCCTCGCCACACTAAGGCGGTGTGTGTACATTGCTGAATTCTATTTTATATAATAATATAATTTAATTATTTAACGACATAGCTAACAGCGGCTTATTTATATCGCGATTCTACGTCGGTTTATATAGTGTTTTGTTTTATTGAGGAAATTCGAGGGATTTTCACAGCCGTATTTGTTCTACTAATGACAGAGATTTAATGGAGGATAAGTCAATTATATTAACGGTGGGATATCAGACTGGTTTTAGACTCGGCACTGCTGCACCGATAGGAAGACGTGTGTGTGACAGTTTCTTTATCGGTACGGTCTCTGGCTTTATCTCATTTTGAAAAGTTGTTATTGCCGTGTAATTAAATCACTGGGACGACCGCACGTTTATAAGAGAAAATGATTTGTTGGCTTATCCGAATTTAACACGCAGCTCGTTCGGCTGTTTGATCAATCGCGACGAACCGGATGGCAATTAAGCGTCTTCGCAATAAGATTCTCGAAGGGCACGCGTCGGTGAGTTCCTTATCGGTTGATAAGGGACGAGCCGACAATTACTGCGGAACAATGCAAAACGTTTATCAAGCTCTTTGGAATCGCGATAAAGTCATCATACTCTAAAAATATACGACTTGAGCGAGGCTTGTCTTTCTTACCAGTTATCGATCGGAAGTGCGAATTAATATCCGAAGACAATTTTTCGTATCGACAAATAAATTGACAGCGGTAAAGTTGTTTTGCAACGAGAAAAAACAAAGTAAGTAAATAAAACGTAGTAAAGTATATCACGTGGACTGTAGAACGAGATATTTTGACGTATTAATTATGTATAGATTATTTTCAAAATTCGATATCCCTTATCAGTACCGCTCTTGTGTTTATATCACGGTCAGTATTTACAATTAGAATGACGAACAATGACAGTCTTTCACAAAAGTCTTAATGACTGGGAAAGTGTTAGTGTTCGGTAATATCCCAGGTCCCGTCAATCAGCAATCCCTTTTTTTTATATAGAAATCGGTAAACGAGTGACTAAGCGATAACTGAGTCAGTGCGCGGGCCTCTAGGTGCCCTGTGTGTTTATTTGGCTTCAGTCTCGGAACTGGCTGCTAAGTAGACAGCGCTTTGCTTACATCGGCAGAGACCGCGCGATCCTGATATATCAGTTTTATTATAAATTCAGGATATTTTTCTTACCGCATAATGTCGGACACTGACTGGGATCGCAGGTCCTTCGAAAACCTCCAGCGAGAGAGGCACGGGTGCCCATAAGTAAGAAAAAGAAAATTGACTGCGAACGGTAATCGAGTCACGGACTCGCGAGTCATCCGACTCAGAGGCTCGTGACGCGACGAACTCACGAGGCAAAATTTAGAATCGAATAATTACCTAAAACAACTGGAGAGCTCGAAGGGCCCGTGGGCACGGGATACTCTCGTAGGTATAGTTGACTCCGAGTTGTTGGTCCCAGGTACACAAGGTCTGTTTGCTTGGGGACCATCGGGGACCCTTTTTTTTCTCTTCGTGGCGAGTCACAACACTAGTAAAGTTACAAAGCGAAGGCAAACAGATCCGGAGACGGGCTTTAACCAGTTTATCAAACAACCGTGCGAGCTCGAGGTGCCGCACGATGACTCCGGGAAGGTGGACAGGCCTGTCAGGAAAGGTGTACTACCTTAAGGTCCCACCTTCGTAATTCTCATAGAGGATTCGTTCGACGTTCTCTGAGAATGATCCTTTAGCCAATACACTTGGTACTACCTTATATTTCTTACCTTGACTTTTTTTCACTTCCTTCTCTCTCACTCTTCCACGTACGGCCTTTTCACTCGGCGCCGTGACAAAAGCTCCAAGAAATAAGTATTCTGCCTCGAGCTCCACAAGGGTGATGGCGGAAAGGTACCAGCGAGGGAGGAGTCAAACAGCTAAGGCAAACCTTCTCTTTGCTGTGGGTCCGACTTGCCGACAAGTCTCGCGGAACGAAGCTGCTGCCGCAAACCACTGTGCTGGAACGGGCGCTCCTTCGAAAGTCCAGCCTTTACAAGTTTCTGCAGGACCAAGAAAGAGAGAGCCCTGACCGATTTAGAGTGCTTGCGCGATTTTAATAACGGGGCTCTGTTGGTTTCGGATGAGAAAGAGAAAAATATTTAAAATTCACGAAAAATCATAAACTCGTGTCTAACGTGAGTTACGCGAGAATCCCGGCAGATCGACGTGGTAAGGCTTTCACGAGAAAATCAGGTATGGGAAAGTTCTTAGGAGTTCCTCGGGTGCCGCGTAAACTACAATTGATTAGTGGACAGGCTATGGGCATTATCGCTGAAGCGTGTCAAAGGTTACTGCATCGTGATCGGTTGAACCCGAGCAAGTCTTGAAGGTATCGTCTTACGGGTGACATTGGATGCCAAGTTCAATTTTCACTGGGAAGGTTTCTAAGGTCCGGGATGGTTGCACCATAATTTTGCGTTGCATCCACACGAGCTGGCAGTGGTCTGCCGATGAAATATAATTATAGAGAAATAATGAAAAGCGGTAGAAGAAATTTAGAGAAATAAAAGGAAATTAAACGTTTATAACGCCGTGGTCGGGAGGCTGTGGTTTCGGGTTCAGCTGAGGTCACTCGGTCAATACGATCTTACTACGTGTATCACTGGGTACCATGAAACGAAAATATTATCCTACCGCCCAGAAATGCATACGAGTGACAGATGACGCATCCAAACGGTCCATTGCGACATTCTCCTATAAGACGTAGAAGGTAATGCATCCAGTGTAATCCAGGGGCCCTACGAAGCCACGGTCCCCATAAGCGTCTAGTTGTCGTCACGATCGTAAAGATTAAGCCCACGAGATCGTTAATTCAAGCCCGGTCCACTGTCGTTAAACAAAAAGTAACGCTCATTGATACGCGTAATCGTAACGATGACACGCGAACGAGTAGCTTTTTTTAATTTTTTTCATTCTTCTACTTTTACTTGTACGCGTTTTCCCAGGGCGGATTTCCGACGATTTAGAAATCTTTTTTCATTGCAGACCCCACTTATTAGCTTTGTTATTGATTTTCAAAGCATTAGGCAATTTCGTATTGAAATCGCGTCACTGTGAATCAGGCATAATGTACCTTCTATTCCCGGCGATGAAACTAAGGTGAACGTGCATTGACAAAGTTTGCTTGTACCCTCGCACAAGGTACACAAAGTACAGTCGACAAGGCACGGGGCAGTATATAGGCGAGTACACATATACAGGATAGTAACCGAGCGAACGCCGAGGCCGCGGGTTACTTTTTGTGCCAATTTGTTAATCGTGCTTACTTACGTACTTACTCCCTGAGCGAAGTCTCGGGCCTTCGAGCAAACCGGGCTCGAGATAAATTCAGTTTCATATATTCCTGTCTGGTTCTGACGGGTTCCACTGGCTACCGGCTGGCTGGCTGTTTGCCGATCTCAACTACTCGACGATACGACAGTTTGAGGATCGCCTTAACTCCTCGTTTCCCATGGCTATATTCTGATAGAGAGACACGTCTCGGAGTAATTCAAATTATTTATTTTTCATCTGTCGCTCGCCCGCTTTACTTCATCAGGACCTCAGCCGTCTCTGGCTTAGGCTGAATTCACACGGTGCCAACCTCCCTTCCTCGTCTGGGTTTGTCGCGAGGACTCCGAGGGTTCACCGCGCGAGGAGTCCAAGTAGAAAGTGAGTTAATGTTTAAATTACACGGCCCGTAGTGACTTGAGCTTTACGAGTTCCTCGGTTCTCCATGCGTCGTTCCACCACCTACCAGTGCAATTATAGCGCCCGAGGTAAAGGCAGGTACCCATATTTCCACGTAGTACTTTTCGTCTGCCCACATACCACCAGCACGGCATTATGGTATCCACTGTGCATTCATTCCGCGTCGCCAAAAGATTATGCTCCGGCTGTGGAACCACGTATCGTCACAACTACGGATAGTAGAGCCCTTTGTCGTTCTCATTGAGCTGCAAAATTCGCAACGCGTTCGTGTACCATTTCGCACCGGTTTCACCAAGACCAATTTTATCCACGATCTTCCGCCACGAACCGACGACGTCATCCATCCTGCCCGCTGATTGCCGCTTTCTTACCGTGGGGCACGTGCACAATGAGCGATGCGTTCATTCATGGCGATATACGGTCGGGCCACGCGTGTACCTACGCTAATGTAAAACAACAATAGCACCTTTAGCGATGCATAGTCAAAGATACAACGACGAATATACACTAACAAATGATACTGACAATAGTAAACGGGTACCTGTTTACTTTCTATGAAAACCCACCCAGATGCTTCCTGCAAGCTCAGTCACGATCGTTTTCACTCCAGATATAAATCGATCTTTACTTGAGTCGGTTGGTTCTTTTTCTTTTTTCTTTTTCTTCAATTGATTACATTTTTCTTTTAATATCACACGGTATACCACATCACACTTTCAAGGGTCTAGATCCACTCATGGGTGCGCCGACACGCCCATCGATTTGTCTATCCTCCTCCGCTATTGCAGATATAATTATTCCTCTTAGATATCATCGTGATGTATGCTCCTGGCCGCCACTTGTGGTACGGATGCTGTTGCAACGCTCGCTTTCGAGAAATACGTGGCTTTTGAAAAAAGACTTTCTTAGACGCCGTGACGGTAGGCAGAAAGGGCGCTTGAAAAATCATCTACTGCCGCTGGTCTCTTTCACTAGTCGAGACTCATCGTAAACCTAGCATCTGAGTCATTGGTCGCAGTCGTGGAAACTGGGTTGTGGACCAGGAGGATGACTAGAATCTTTGAAATATGATTTTGAAATTTTTTTTTTTATCTCACAAATTCAAGGAAATTGTTCGTATGCCTAATAGAAATGTAAGAAATTTATCTTTTTTTTTGGAATTTTTTTTTTAATTTTTAGAATACCTGTCAGAATTATTAAAATCACTCGTAAGCTGTGCACATACAAAATTTCATTCAAAGACAGCTGTGTGCGACTCGAGTATTTGAACTGGATAATCCTGTGTGTGTATATATATATATATATATATCGTTCGTGGGTGGATTGCCCGGGATCGTGCCTGACCACGGACAACTTTGATTCACTCCGATTGTTCGCCGCCAGGTTCAATGATCGGCTTCCCATTATCGAGTACGATGAAAAGCACTTGAGCTTTTTCAACATATGTCAAGTACTCTCATAGAACCTATGTACATGCAGAGTGTATGAATATCGTACTAAATTACCTTGAGGATGACAATAGGATTTTGATTTCCAAAAATACTTCCTTCGACCATCATTACCCCTTACCCTGTACCGAATTGATGATACAAAACCATGAAAGCTAACTATCGAAAAATCACGGATGCTGTATCAGCAATTGCGAATGGTCCAGCTGGATGGTCAGCATGTTTATTGCTACTCCGCGTCATTACTACGGACTCACGGCACGTTACGAACAATACGAGAATATTGTGAAGCCACAAGTCACCGGCTGTACCACCTGTGGTACTACAGTTTCTGAAGACTCTTTGATGTCTCTTTACGAGAGTCTCTCAAGTGACAATGTCGTAAAGAGACTGGCGCAGTACACGAGTTACTTTATGTCCCGCTACGTCGGCCCGCCCAGTGTCTCTTGATTCACAAAGAAGAAACTTTTTAAAATTCACAGCCACGCAATAGTAGAAATCGTCACGCGGAAATAGGAAACGTCAATGAATCACATAGCGACGTTTTTTTCTGGTTAACTTAAAGAAATTCTGGGTTCTCGTACATCCTATGCGAAAAAATTTAACCGCGAAGCTTCCCCCTTGCTATTGCCGTTCTTCGTTATCCCGGTTCGTATACACAGAATCACTCATAAGTTAGCCCACTCGTGTGATACTGGCTTTCGGTCGGGCCCGTACGTCCGTTTCTTTTTCCCATAATTCTACTTGTCCTTACACACGTGTGCACAGACGTGCAGACTTCTGTCGGCATTTCAACCGCAACAGATAACGTAATGTAACAACCGTTGACATTGAGCGTATGGTAGCCGATCGAACGTGCATTCCTTGCCGGTGCAATGTGGAGAGGTGGACGTCAAGTCCGATCACGGTTGCACCCATACCAGCGGTAAGCTGTCACCTCTGGATATAAACCATGGTTGACGTCAGTATGACATCAGTGATCCATATCTTCGTAATAGAAGGCGATTAGGTGTGCGTGTACGCGTGTGCGCCAGTACGTGATAAGGACGGGCAACGCGATTCCTTCGACCCATGGGGTTGAATTGATTAGAACAACCCCTATGTGCTCTGCACTCAATTCTCCGTGTACCGATATAACCTGAGGATGATGGGGAATGATTTGAGACCTTCTACGGGAGTTTATGGGTGGGGTCCTTCAGGGACTATTCGATGCGCTAGTCTCGCCAGACAAAATGCAAATCTTCCTGCGCCCGCTAATCTGTCTGGCGCATCCGTGACGTCACAGACCATTGGCGTCGACAGCCGCCGATTTTTTTACGCCAATTTCACGAATCTCATCAGGGAACCGGACGATTGGGTTCGGCAGCGTAGAACCGAATTTGGCGTCAATGGACCCGTAGCCGTTTACTCGCCTGAAAATCAACGACTCTCCTGATACAATGGATATGACTTTTTGGGACAAGTCCTCGTCATCCGCCAATGGCAGAGAAGTAAGAATCCGGTAATTGCGCCGGATCCTGTCTGGTGGATCCCATGCGTTTCTTCACGGAGGAGAAAGCTCTTTACGCCTCTGCACCGTTCTTGGGGTCCGTGCGGGCATTAACGTGGCAAACCACACATAACGTTTCTCTTCCTATGAGGTTTCGCGACGTTCACTAATGCGACTCTTGGTGCGACCTCTAACGCCGTCCGTGAATCCTCCTCAAGCGTTGTAGCTACAGTGTCTCAGGAACACGACACCACTGTCAGGTTTTAAGATAGCCCAGAAGAAGGTCCCAGGAGTGTATATACACTTTACGCGCATTTACGGGCTTTTATCGTGCCGAACGGGTCTCGGTCGGGGCAGACCCGGGTCTCACACTACCGCGTATCCCTGATGATTTTGCGCTCGCTCGGCTGGCCCCTAAGCGCTCTCTGCCCGCTAATCACCACGCAATCACCGCTCCTGGTGGCCGAGCACGGACTCTTTCCCAGAAAGTTGCGCCGCCCCGGGCATCTACTCCACTGCAAAACCAACAATCTTCGTCCTTACCGGTAGGTAAAAAAGGGCAGGAACTCTCTCGACATCCAAGACTGAAATATCTGGCGCGGCTTCGATCGCTTCACGAACGCTCCGGGATCGGACGCGATGGACCACGAGGGGGAAGTCTCACACCCACGGCGTAACAATCCGTCGAGACGTACTGGCTTCCCGTATTAAGCGCGATCCCATAAAGTTATGGGGAACGCTTTCTAAGCCGATAAAGGTCCCCACGCCCACGTGGGAAACCGGTAAGCGCTCGGCGAAACGTACAGGACCGATAGGAGCCTACGGAGGCGATAAACTTCGAGATCACTTTCTCGCTCTACACGAACGGAAGTTGCCGATTCCATAGGCGATATGGTTACACCGTGCAGACTTCGATATCGATGACCCTTTTACTTTAAATTCAGACCAAAAAATCTAACTTATAAATAACATTTAGCAGATCGCTTCATGTGTGCTTAGCGAATGCATAATGTACTTTTATTACCTCACTGGCGGATGTACGATGAGTCTTACGGTATAATTAACGTTATCGAACACAGACTGAATTACACTTGACAATGTCAACTCACATTCCATTCGGACCCACTGCAGTCTTTAACATCCTTAAGATCCATGCGTGACTTCGATAGAGGAATCGAGTCGGCCGCCTGCCGCGACAAAGAAATAAGACGGATATTGTTACGGGACCAAAAATCCTTAAGCCTACGCCACGGCTTGATCTCTAACGAGGAACCGCCGAAGGAGGCCATAAGCTAGGACGCTTAATTGCACAATAAATCCTGATTCTCCGATTTGCAACCTATTTCCTATTGCGGGGGCAGAGTTAGGCTCTTGTAAAATTGACGCGTAGGTGCACCGTGCAGTGTAGGTACCTCAGTATGTAGCTTATGTGGATGCACAGCTGACTGGGACAGTCCGACGAGAGATCAAAGTCCCTAGGAGTTTAGTTATAATAATAATAAATTTTTTTTTTAATTTTACCACCAACAGTCAAAATTTTTCTCGATATCCTCTTTGATCCTTGCTAACGTATTTCTTTGTCTTTTGTGATTACAGATTCACTGGCACAGACGGCTACTCTCACGAGCCTAGCGTTCTTCCTAAGTTCAAGTCTGAGTGCTGTCTCAGGGGCACCGACTTACGGCCTACATACGGCCGACACTGAATCCATTGTCATGGAACCCTGGGTGCAGCCCTGTGGTACGCCTGTTGTCGCTGCCCTCAAAAAGTCACCCCAGAGACACAGCGTCCATCGTGCCCTCAAGAGAGTACGCACTCAATTGAGGGGTGCGTACAATCACTTCCAGAAGGATCTCAAAGAAGTTCACGACGTGTACTCCGAGGTAGGGATACTTATCGTAGCGATTTAGTAGGGATTGACGTAATACGACGCAATCGTGCTTGGCTGTACCGTAAGCATTCGCGTAGCTGTGTGCATGCATGCTTGGTACCTGGCAACAATGTCAGTTGCAGCATCCGGACTCGTTACAGCGTCCGGTTTTAATATAAGGTGTCCATAGAGTTCACGATAAGGGATCGTGTTTATATAACAAGGCGCACCACGCTTGCGAAGCCGGTGTAACTAGATGACAGTTGTTATTGTTTTGTCTACTCCAAGTCCAAGCCAGCGAGCCCCGTGTGGTCCGGACCCAGGAGCCGACGCCATCTTTTGCTTATACCTTTTTATCATTCCTGAGTTTATGGAGCTGCTCGCGGGCGCGGCACTGGCCTGTGACAGTATCTGATTTCTAGCGTTCGCCATCGATAAATTTCAAAGATTCTTGTACATCTTCTTGATCGCGTCATTAAATATTATTAGATCATTCCGGTGGGC